TTTTGTACACACAATGGGACGATCATTTTTATAACTGTCCCGTAGTGTTAGTAACTCTTGGGTTTCATAGTAGTGGAGTAAGAGAATAAAGGGGAATTTTGAACATTTGTCTTTGTAAGCACTTTCAGAAATGAAGATTTATGGTATAGGGAGAAAATATAACTCCTATTTTGGACTCTGTTGGAAATGTTTGCTGCAGTCTTCTGTTTTTCTTTCCTAATGATTTGTCTTTAAAATGGTAAAGCCCGTATTTGAAGTTTGAGTTTGGGTTTTATTTCCCAGAGTTCCTATGATAGTGCTATAGTTGGGGCAGGGGAAGCCATGTATGTTTCACAGTGATGTTATGAGTAGCATCATAGGGACATATAATAATAAGGGCAACCCGCATTTAATATTTTTAAAGCATTTTCATATCTGTATCTAATTTTTGTCCCCAAAATAGCCCTTTGGAGTAGATGTTAGTAGGAAAGTACAGCTACCAACCCTCACATTACATAGGAAAAAAAGGTGGTCTAACCTGTTACTCAAACCAAACCAAACTCACTGCCATGGAGGCAGTTCCAACTCTTAGCAACCCCATGGGTTTCTAAGACTGTAAACCTTTATAGAAGTAAATTGCCTCATCTTTCTTCCATGGAGCAGGTGGTGGGTTTGAACCACGGACCTTTTGGTTAGCAGCCATATTTTTTAACCACTAGGCCACCAGAGGTCCTTGAGCTAGGTTACTAGTAGAACAAAAAAAATCTCGTGGCTATTAATTTTGTGTTCTTTCATTTAGGTATCTGTGCATGTAATCTAATAAGTGACCTTTAGATATTGTCATTTAGTTCTTATTTTTTGAGAAATTTAATAATATTCCTACTTCCGTAGTGATACTGCCTCGGAAACCCAAGGAGGGGTCGCTATGAGTCGGGGCCGACTCGACGGCACACAACAACAACAACAACAACAATTATTAAATAATTATATATATTATTACATGTAATATAGTCTATATATTATTATTATATATTTTTTGTATTATTAATATAATATATAAAGTTGTATTTTGTAATTATTAATTAATGACATTCTGCTTTGTGGATGATTATTAATGGTTGTTTAGGGGTGGGGCTGTTGAGAATATACTCTTGCTAGGAACTGTGTGATTCCAGAAAGACCACAGGATAGCATATAGTATTTTTCAAATTGTCTACATTAAATTCAAAAAATAAGAACTATTCTAGGAAAAGAATTAATTTGAAGTTGTTGTTGTTGTTATTTGCCGTCGAGTCGGCCCCGACTCATAGCAACCCCTCCTTGGGTTTCCGAGGCAGTATCACTACGGAAGTAGGATTGCCCAACCTTCCTTCCGAGGAGTGGCTGGTGGATTTGAACCGCCAGCCTTCTGGTTAGCAGTCAAGTGCCTTAGCCACTATGCTACCAGAGCTCCCAATTTGAAGTTAGGTGTTTCTAATTTATCAGGTAGAACCAAAAGTTCATCATCCTTGCCAGCTTTCCTCCTCTTTTTTAAGGTCAAATGCACAGGTAGGAATGTATTCTAACGCGTCCCTGCATATATTCTGCTTTTAGGCTTTTTTTACAGAAAAGTACTTGCAGGAGCATCCTGAAGACCAGGAGAAGATTGAGCTGCTAAAACGACTCATAGCATTACAGGTATGCCACAAGGAAGATGAGTGGATGGACAGCTTGCCTGTGTATATCCCAGGTGGCCACAAGGCATGACTGCCAAGATAATATTCTCTAGGATTCGAGTGTACAAGGCTGTTTGCAAGATTCCTTTTTTTAAAAAAAAAAAAAAATCCAATGGAACCACATTCTTTTTTGAGGGGTGGAGGAACAAAGCAGTCAAGCCCTAGTAATAGCATTCAACTGAACCTTACTGTGTTGAGAGAGACTTTCTGAGAATCAAGATGAAAGTCCATAAATCAGCTCTCTGGCCTGTATTTCTACCTGATGCTATTGTCCTCATTTTTCTCTTACTATATCAGTGATCAGTGGTAGAAGATAAAGCCATCAAATTCGGTCTAAGACTTAAACCTGTCAGTTGCTCACTCACAGAAATGGCCCAGGACTTGGTTGGATTGGCTTTATCTGTCAACTCTTCCCCAGTCTAGGGCCCCCTGGTATCATTGGTGTGTGTATTTCTGTGGATCATTGATCCAGGTGAGTCAAGCTGACAAGCCCTAAACTCAGAAGTAGCATTCTCATTGGATAGCGTTCTTTCTGCCAGCTTACCTGTCCACCACCAGCCCCTGAACTTCCCCAACTGCCAAGTCTAAATCACCCCTCTTTCTGATCCACATTCCATTCTTTGTATGCTCTCCTTTCCAGATGCCCCTGCTGACAGAAGGGATCCGCATCCACGGGGAGAAGCTGACGGAGCAGCTCAAGCCACTACATGAGCGGCTGTCTTCTTGCTTCCGAGAACTCAAGGAGAAAGTAGAAAAGCTCTATGGGGTTATCACCCTGGTAGGCTTTGTCCAAATAGCCATCATGCTTTTTCTGTTTTACCTTTCCCAAAATTGGTCAGTTTTTCAGATGCTGACAAGTCATGATACATAGGTATGGCATGAATATACTTGGGGCAGGTGGGAGAAGGCATAGTCTGCTGTTGATGATCTTAAACTGTCATTGTACTAGGTAGAAGCCTGCAGACATTAGTGAGCATCAGAGTCACCTTGTCAAAACACAGAAATCCCCATCCCCAGAACTTCAGATTCAGTAGGGATTGGGTTGTTGTTGTCGGGTGCCATCAAGTCAATTCCAACTCATAGTGACCTCGTGGGACACAGTAGAACTGCCTGTAGGTTTTTTTTGTTTTGTTTTGCTTGTTTGTTTGTTTTTGGCTATAATCTTTATGGAAGCAGATCACCAGGTCTTTCACCCACAGAGTCACTGGCTGGGTTCAAGTCACCAGCCTTTTGGTAGCAGTCCAGCACTTAATCTTTGAGACACCAGAACATTATAGGGATTGGGTTAGACCCAAATATTTGCATTTTTAACAAGTTCCCAGCTGATGGTACTGGTCTTGGCACCACTATTATAAAAGTGAGGAGCTCTGGTAGCATAGTGCCTAAGGCACTTAACTGCTAACTGAAAGGCTGGTAGTTCAACCCACCAGCCACTCCTTAGAAGGAAGGTGGGGCAATCTACTTCTGTAGTGATACTGCCTCAGAAACCCAAGGAGAGGTCACTATGAGTCAGGTCCGACTCGATGGCACATAACAACAACAACATTATAGAAATGAGATTTTCCTAATCCCAGACATTGATTATTCTTATCCTATCTAGCCCAGTTCTTATAGTTTTTCCTAATCTTTATTTTCTATTTGGATGAAGAATTTAGTCTTCACACCTTTGAAGGACAGGAAGAATTGGGAATTACATTTTACAAAGCATGTAGCTGATTTCATGAATATTTGATAGTTCTAACACTTTTCTCATGGTTATACTTTTCTTTTTTTCCTCCAGAGAATTTCAGTGGAGCAACACATGCACTAACCTTTCCTTTCCAACGATTATTTTAAGCCCAGCTTCATTTATCTGCTATTCTTTTCCTTGAGTTCACCCTGGTCCCTTTAACTATCTGATTCTTGAACACTGATTTTCAGTTTTTCTTCCCTCAAATCAAAGCTCTGAATTTCCTTTCATTTTCTCCTCTTCCTTCGTATCTCCACAATTTTCTCTAGAGTATCTTTTTGATAACTTCTTTCAGACATCAGAGTGTTTAGCCATACCTTCTTTTTTAAAAAATAATATTTTATGTTGTGTTTTTGGTGAGTTTATATAGCAGTTTAGGTTCTCATTCAACAATTTCTACACAAATTGTTCAGTGGCATTGCTTACATTCTTCACAATGTGTGAACATTCTTACTAGTTCTGTTCTGGTTGTTCATTTCTTTTTGTCACACCTTTTTAACCTGCTGCTAGTTAATAGTTTTCTTCTAGTAACATTTGTCTTTAGTATACAAGTTCCTAGATAGTGCAAACTGTGCCTTTGACCTAATGAACCTACCTGTTATTAGAGCCCGCCCAGCTTTAGCACATGAATTTGATGTAGGGGTAATCCTCTTGGTGACAATTTCTGTGAGAGGAGATCAGTGTTATTTGTCTTCCTAAGATTCACCAAGTGTTTTGGCTACTTTGTGCCACTCTAAGAGATATATCACAGGTGGCAACTCTGAATAAACAGGAGTTTATTCTCCCACAGTTTGGGAGGCTAGAAGTCAAAGTTCAAAGTGCCAAGCTCTAGGGCCTGGATGAAAGCCCCTCGACCTTGGGCTTCAGCTCTGCTTTCTGCTCCTGGTCTACTGGAGCTGGAGGCATCTCTTCAGTCAGGCAGCTGCTGAGGCTGACAAATCCAAGGCCGACAGGTAAAATGGTACAGTCCCAAGGTTACCACACAATATGGCAGGCCACTAATTCAAGTTAAGAAACTGTCCTAAGACCGACGGGCAATCATGGCAGGCTGCTGAGCAATAATTCAGCTACATGCAGGATTCAAGTGTACCAAAGGCTGCTGAGACCATTTCCAAAGCTTCTCCTTATATACTGGAAGCAGACCACATCCCTAAAGCAGCTACTCAGCTACTCACAGCAGATTCCCCCATGAAGTTGATTGCCAGTCTCATCATGGGGAATAACACACTTATAGAAACTGCCAAGTGCAAAGTTCTTGGATCAAATATCAAGCTGGAGGCTTTTCCCGACTCTTGCAGCTGCAGGGGCTGAGGAGCTCAGAGCTGGCAGGCAGTATACCAGCTGTTGACTCCAACGAATGACGAATCCAAGATCTCCAGGCTGAATGGTGGATTGTTCACTCACGGACAGTTGTAGGCAGCACAATAGAATCCTGGTCCACAGAAGAGTGTCTCTTTTCCCAGGATGTCCATAGATATACTGGAAGTAGGCCACACCCCTAGGGAAACTCGCTTTCAATGGATTGGCTGCTCAAAACATATTTATCTGATCCCATCATGGGAATAACCACATCACAACTGCTTAAACCACACAGAATTGTGGTCCGGCCAAGTTGATACACAGCTCCAACTATCACACCCAGCCACTGAAAACCAAGGCCAGCCATGTTGACATATAACCTTAAATACCACACCAAGTTAAGCTTTGAGTCTACCTTTTGATTCCAAAATTCTTCTCTTAGGCCAATATTCCATTTTTAAGAAGGTTTAAAGAAGCCAAACTAGAGAAGTGAAGAAAGAGTTTTGCTGTTTTATTGGAGACTAATGCACATCTTAGTTTTTCCTTTCTCATGAATCTGGCAGAAAATTATGAATTTTACTCTAGTCTTAGATATAAGGGTTGTTGTTCTTCTTTGCTGCCATCAAATCAGCACCCAATGTGTGGCAACCCCATATTCAGTGAGATTGGACTGTTGTGCTCTACAGGGCTTTCATTTGCTGATTTTCAGAAGTAGATCACCAGGCCTTTCTTCCTCATCTATCTTGGTCTGCAATCTCTGCTGAAGCCTGTTCAGCAGCATAGCAACATACAAGCCTCCAATGACAGATGGGTAGTAGCTGCACTTGAGGTGCATTGGCGGGGAGTTGAACCCAGGACTTAGAAACAGGGTAGGTTTAACCTAAGTTGCTCTATAACTAAGAGGTGATATTTGACATATTTAATGACTGATGTGGCACAAGCACCAGCCAATGAGTGTGGGGTGCTAGCCAAGCCTAGTGGACACTAGCCATAAACAAGTAGTACAGCTGTGCAAGTTCATGTTGACCAAATTCAGCCCAGCTAACCAGCAGGGGTCATGTGTTTTCAGCCTCCCAACTTGACTGAGAGGAAGCAAAGCCGCATAGGGTCTATGGTGCTACCCTACATCATGTCATCCACTCTGAGGAGATTGTCCATCACATCAGTGGCATCCTCTGTGGTTTCCACCTCTTCAAACTCATCTGATAATGCACCTTCCAGACCTGGATCTGATGGGTAAGGGTTATACCATTAATCCCCAGGAGGGATGGGGTAGCACCTTACTAACATTTGCCTTAGTTACCAAAGTGAGACTTAGTCAATGTGGACCCATCACCCACAAGAGAAGAATTTGGAGTACGTGTGTTACTAGCCTTTGGGTCATTCTCATCTTCCTCTCGAGGAATATCATTATTTACATAATGTTAACACCAGTTACTAAACTGAAAAAAAATTAAAAACTACCCATATCTCTATCACCCTATAACATACTGTTTTATTTTTTTCTTATCTTCCTCATGAGGAATATCATTATTTACATAATGTAAACACCAGTTACTAAACTGAAAAAAAATTTTAAAAACACCCATATCTCTATCACATACTGTTTTATTTATTTATTTATTTTTCCTGGGTGATTTTTCTTTTTTTTTAATTGTATTTTTGGTGAAAGTTTACACTTTCCCATTTAAATTAGGTTTCCATTTAACAATTTCTGGACATATTGTTCAATGACATTGGTTACATTATTATTATTTTGTTTTTTCAGTGTTCCCTCCCCTCCCCTCGCACGCCTGGTAACCAACAAAGAAAGTTTCCTTCTATATAAACCTTTCCTTCACTTTTTACAATAATGAACTAATACAATATTTGTCCTTCTGTGATTGACTTATTTCACTCAGCATATCCTCCAAGTTCATCCACCTTATGTGGTGTTTTGCAGATTCTACATTATTCTTTAGTGTTGCATAGTATTCTGTTGTGTGTGTGTGCCATACTTTGGTTATCCATTTTTCTGTTGATGGGCACCTAGATTGTTTCCATCTCTTTGCTATTGTAAATAGTGCTGCAATGAACATGAGTGTGCATATATCCATTCTGGTCCTGGTTCTCACTTCTTTAGGATATATACCTGGTAATGGATTGCTGGATCAAAAGGTATTTATAATACCAACTTTTTAAGGAATCGCCATACTGCTTTCCAGAGTGATTGTATCATTTTACAGTCCCACCAGCAGTGCACGAGAGTCCCAATCTCTCCACATCCTCTCCAGCCTTTGTTATTTTCTGTCTTGTTGATCTTTGCTGTTAGTCCTGGGGTGAGATGGTATCTCATTGTTGTTTTGATTTGCATCTCTCTAATGGCTAATGAGGAGTTTTGGTAGCATAGTGCCTAAGACACTTGACTGCTAACCAGAAGGCTAGCGGTTCAAACCCACCAACTACTCCTCGGAAGGAAGACAGGGCAATCTACTTCCGTAGTGATACTGCCTCGGAAACCCAAGGAGGGGTCGCTATGAGTTGGGTCCCACTTGACAGCACATAACAACAACAACAACAACAATGGCTAATGATCATGAACACTTCTTCATGTGCTTGTTGGCTGCCTGAATATCCTTTTTGGTGAAGTGTCTATTCATGTCTTCTGCCCATTTTTTAATTGGATTATTTGTCTTTGTCTTGTTGAGGTGTTGGAATTTTTTATAAATTTGAGAGATAAGTGCCTTGTCAGATATGTCATTGCCAAATATTTTTTCCCAATCTATAGGTTCTCATTTTACTCTTTTGGAGAAGTCTTTTAAAACACATAAAAATTTAATTTTTAGAAGGTCCCATTCATCTAGTTTATCTTCTGCTGTTTGTGCACTTTGGGTTTTTACTTGACAGTTTATTTATGCCACACACACAAAAAAAAAAAAAAACCTCACTGCCATTGAGTCAGTTCCAACTCATAACGATCCCTCCTTGGGTTTCCAAGGCAGTATCTTTACAGAAGTAGATTGCTGTATCTTCCTTCCGAGGAGTAGCTGGTGGGTTTGTACTGTCAGCCGTCTGGTTAGCAATCAAATGCCTTAGGCACTATACTACCAGATCTCCTATAATAGGGCCCCTAAATTAGCCCTTAGTTTTTCCTTGAGGAACTTTATAGTTTTAGGTTTCACATTTAAGTCTTTGATCCATCTGGAGGTAGTTTGGTGTGAGGTACAGATCTTGTTTCATTTTTCTGCACATGGATATCCAGTTTTGCCATCACCATTTATTAAACAAGCATTCTCTTTCCCATTTAATGGATTTTGGCCCTCTGTCAAAGATGAGCTGATCATAGGTTGATGGATCTATTTCTGGGTTCTCAGTTTTATTCCATTGGTCTGTGTGTCTATTGTTGCACCAATATCAGGCAGTTTTGACTACTGTGGCTATATGGTAGGTTTTGAAATCCGGCAGTGTGAGACCTCCTACTTTGTTCTTCTTCAATAGTGCTTTGCTTATCCAAGGTCTCTTTCCTTTCCATATAAAGTTAGTGACTGATTTTTTCATATCCTTAAAAAATGTTGATGGGATCTGGATTGGGATTGCATTGAATGTATAGATCACTTTGGGTAGAATTGACATTTTCACAATGTTCAGTCTTCCTATCCATGAGCATGGTATATTCTTCCATTTATGTAGATATCTTAATGGTTTCTTGAAGTGGTCTTTTATACTTTTCTTTGTACAGGTCTTTTGTGTCCCTGGTAATATTTCTTCCCAAGTATTTTATTTTTTGGTAGCTATGGTAAATGGTATTGATTTCTTTGTTTGCTTTTCAGCAATCTCTTTGTTGGTGTGGAGGAATCCAACTGATTTTTGGATGCTGATCTTGTATCCTGCCATGATGCTAAATTTCTAAGTTAGTTCCAGTAGATTTTTTTACTGAGTCTCTTGGGTTTTCTAGGTAGAGGATCATATCATGAGCAAATAGGGATAGTTTGACTTCTTCCTTACTAATTTGAATGCCTTTGATTTCCCTTTCTGGCCTTATTGCCCTGGCTAGGACTTCCAGTACAATGTTGAATAGAAATGGTGATAGAGGGCATTCTTGTCTGGTTCTTGTTCACAAGGGGAATGGTTTCAGTCTCTCTCCATTGAGAATAATGTTGGCTGTTGGTTTTGCATGTTGTTGTTGTGGTTGTTATGTGCTGTTGAGTCAGACCCGCCTCATAGCGACCCCTCCTTGGGTTGCTGAGGCAGTATCACTACGGAAGTAGATTGCCCCACCTTCCTTCCAAGGAGTGGCTGGTGGATTTGAACCATCAGCCTTCTGGTTAGCAGTCAAGTGCCTTAGGCACTACGCTACCAGAGCTCCTATGGTTTTGCATAGATGCCCTTTATTATGTTGAGGAATGTACCTTCTATTCTTATTTTGGTGAGAGTTTTGATCAAGAATGGGTACTGGATTTTATCATACACCTTTTCTGCATCAATTCATATCATCATGTTTTTTTCTTCTGTTTTATATATGTGGTAGATGATGTTGATTGTTTTTCTAATGTTGAACCATCCTTGTATACCTGATATGAACCCCACTTGGTCATAATGAATATTTTCTTGATATGTTGTTGGAGTCTACTGGCTAGGATTTTGCTGAAGATTTTTGCATCTATATTCATGAGGGATATTGGTGTGTAGTTTTCCTTTTGAGTTATGTCTTTGCCTGGTTTTGGGGTCAAAGTTATGCTTGCTTTATAAAATGAATTAGGGAGGATTCCATCCTTATCTGTGTTTTGGAATAGTTTGAGTAAGATGGGTGTCAGTTCTTCTCTGAATGTTTGGTAGAATTCTCTGGTGAAACTGTCTGGGCCAGGACTTTTTTTGTTGGCAGTTTTTTTATGACCTGTTCAGTTTCTTCTTTTGTTCAACTTTTGGATCTGTTCAACTTTTCCACATCAGTCTGTGTTACTTTAGGTAAGTGGTGTGTTTCTAGATATCTGTCCATTTCTTCCAGATTTTCAAATTTGTTGGAGTACAGTTCTTCATAGTATCCTGATATTATCCTTTTTATTTCAGTTGGTTCTGTTATGATGTCACCCATTTTGTTTCTTAATGTGTTATTTGTATTCTCTCCCTCTTTTCCCTTGTAATTGCCAGTGATTTGTCAATTTTATTAATCTTTTCAAAAAACCAACTTCTAGTCTTGTTGATTTTTTCTATTGGCTTTCTATTTTCTGTCTCGATTTCTGCTCAAATCTTGATTATTTCCTTTCTTCTGGTGACTATAAGCTTTTCTTACTATTCTTTTTCTGGTTGTTGGAGATGTTGGTTTAAAGTGTTGATATTGACTCTTCTTTTTTGATGTGTGCATTTATTGCTATAAATTAGCCTCTGACCACTGCTTTTACTGTGTCCCAAAGATTTTGATATGTTGTGTTTTCATTCTTGTTTGATTCAAGGAAATTTTGAATTTCATTTTTTATTTCTTCTCTTACCAAGTCTTCCTTAAGGAGGGTATTGTTCAGTTTCCGTGTATTACTCTTTTCCTGTTGATCTTCCTATTGTTGATTTCTAATTGGATAGCACTGTGATCTGCGAAGATGCTTTGCAGTATTTCACTGTTTTTAAATATATTAACACTTGCTTAATGGCCTAACATATGGTCTGTCCTGGAGAATGTTCCATGTGCATGGGAAAAGAATGTATATTGTGCTGTTGTTGGGTGAAGTGCTCTGTAGATGTCTATAAGGTCAAGTTGGT